GACCGGACGCGCTCGGGGCTGGCTCGTGTGTTCATCGGCGTGGAGCGGGCGGCGGGCGCGGGCCACAACCGGGGGAGCTGGAAGGGAAATTCGCCTTTTAAAGTGACCTCCTGAAAGTGTGCCTTTTCTCGTCTTCTTCTCCTCCTCTTTCCCTCTCTGTTGCTAATGTAAAATGGTACGGCCGTGTCATCTGCAAGATGTTCGTTGTTTAGGGAAGTACCGAGGAAAGGAGATGAGGAAATGCTTACGTTTGCCATCGGTCGACCCCGTCTTCCTTTGGTCCTCTGAGAGGTAGAGGGCCCCAGGCTGCGAGTCGAGCAGCCAGGAAGCTCCTGGGCGGAGCTGATTTCTCTTCAGGTGTCTCTTTTTGAGCCTAGATTAACAGTTGGATGAAGGGAAAGGAAGAAAAGAAATCTTTGGTGGCAAGCCTGACGGGAACCATCCACCGAGGGGTGGTTGGGTTGTAGCCTCCCGCATGGGAAGAGTGCTTGGAGACTGGGTGCACGTCTACGGGGTCAGTACCACCTGGATGATGTTCTACATCGTGTGGGGTTGATTACGTAGAAAGCTTCCCATAATCCTGTGTCACCTTGATCCATCTGATTTTTGACCTTATCCATTCACCTCTGTGTAATTTTTTAAAAATGGAACTCACATTGAACATTGCTTTCTTAGATGTAAACCTGAGGCCAACATTAAATGTAAAAATGTATGCGTACATCCTTAGGAAGGATAATAATAATTAATTTGCATTTTCATTTACTATCTTTCCTTGCATCTAGAACTATTTTATTTACCTTTTTGAAGAATGGTTATAGGAAATGGAGCTAGATTTCAAGACATCGCAAATTAGTGGAAAATAATTAAAGGAGATACAAAGGCCTTTAGCTTTACTTAAAATATATTGTGTCACTCAGACCTTTAGTTTGCAAGTAAAATGAGACAGAGGTCTATTAATATTCCTTTCTGTCTGGTTATTTTATTCTCTTCACCTCTGTCATAAGTTCACACTTAAAAGTGACATAGGGGCATTTGATCTTCATGTAATCCTACTGATGCTCCTGGTTTTAATGGTAATGGGAGTAAAAGTGTCACTCTTTAAATAAACTTTGGAACTCACTTTATTGATATGATCTAATGTTTTCAATTCCATATGATAATAGTCAGACATTTAGTGAGGTACAGTGCCATGAACGAAACACGTACCACCAAGACATACTTACTGTAAATCATTGAGCATGTCTCTTAAGTAAACTTGCCATTCTACTTTGTAGTATTTATTTTTGGTTTTTAATGGGGTGCTGGGAAATGGGAGAAGAGAAACAACAAAGTAAGGATTATTGAGTTGAAAGATCTGTGAATTTTCAGCTAATTGTGACCCACATTTGGAGCTAAATATGGTGGGTTTTGAAAATCTTTAGGGAATTTTGGGTTTGAGTGGGGAAAGGCATTTATTTAGTGGAGACCTGAGTGTTAATAGAGTTAGTGTTATAATCCTAAAGCCCATACCTTAAAAAAAAAAAGATTAAGGTTTTATACTTTGATTGCAGTATAAATAGCTGAGAAAGACATCTTCTGAATGTTCGTTTTTCCTTTCTCCTTTTAATATTGCTTCTTCCCTCATCTCCTTTTTCCCTAATAAACAACAGTAGCAAAACCTGCCTTGCTTTCACAGTAACAAGGGAGGGAGAATCCCACAGGCAGGACCTGGTAAGCCTTGGTGACTCCTGAGGATGAAGGCTTTCCAGAAGAGTGTTTCAAAAGTCTAGTCTCCAGACCACCTGCACAGAGCACCCTGGAGTGCTTAGACATGCATGCTCAGGCTTCACCCACATTCTTCTGAGGTAGGCCCTCTGGAAGCGAGCTAGGAATCTGCCTCTTTTTTTTTTTTTTTTTTTTTTTTAAACTAGCTTCCTCTGGTAATCCTTAGGATAAATATCAAGTCTGAGACTTTTTCATGTATAGAGTAGTTATGGTCCGAGTAAACACTGGGCTGCTGTTTCTTGATGCCAGTAAATCAAGAGGCAGAGAACTGGCAGAAAGAAGTTTATTCCAGAATTCAGGGAGACAGAACCTGGCTCCTGGCATTTCTGGAACTGGTCTGCTTGTCCCTTAGATACCACAGTCCCTTTTTATAAGTTTAGGGTTACTGGTACAATGACTGACAGAGCATTGTATAGAACTTAGGTTATAGCTGTATTTTGTTAATAGTAACATTCATGGTCATTTCCTGGCGCTGGTCACCAAAGGGTAACTCACAGTTCCTCTTTTTTTATTTTAATTTTAATTTTTAGAGATGAGGTCTCACCAAGTTGTCCAGGCTGGGCTCAAACCCATGGGCTCAGGCAGTCCTCTCACCTTGGCCTCCCAAAGTGCTGGGATTATAGGTGTGAGCTATCATGCCTGGCCTCACAGTTCCTTTTATCAGTAACACCAAACTTCGGAGTTGATCAAACTTGCCATAGAGTATGGGAGTTAACAGAGCCTATTACAAAGTAAAACATTACTCACTACAACTCTATATTGTTGACTAGTAGTTAAAACATGCAAGAAGTTATGTAAGTTCCAAGGCTTATGGTTACATGGATACTGTATTTTCAAATCTATGACTTATAAAAAGGAGTGAATAGGAATTCATTGCTCTCAGTTAAATGAGTACAGTCTACAGGGGTTAAGGATCTTTGAAGCGCCTTAATGGGAATGTGTAAGAGATAAGGGAAAAGCTCTCTTTTGCTAATTCTCAGGAATGCAGGTATGGGCAGATCTGCTTGAATGCTCATTATGCCTTTCTTTAAGGGTTGTGGCAATATGGACAGTGGTTTTCTGTAACCGTTTGGTCAAGTTCAGTTGATAAAATAATTTGAGTTGAGGATGACAAAGGACTAGTGTTTAATATCCCAAACATATTCTTTAGAAAACAGCAAGTAAACTCAATGGGGAAATAATCCTTTATATTAAACACTTTAACACTGAATAGAAAAATAGGGAAGTATGCTATTTGTGGCCAAGATTTGTGTGTCCCTGTGCAAAATTGGAACTAGGGAGCTATTAAATTGAACTACGAATAATTTCTACTGCTCAAAGATATCTGTCTTTCATAAACATTTTCGTTTTTAAGGTAAGATTCCAGGCTTTTGTTTGTTTTTGAGACAGGGCCTTGCTCTGCCACCCAGGCTAGAGTGCCGGGATGCAATCATGGCTCAAGGAATGCTCTAAGACAACAGGCACCACCGCACCCAGCTAAGGACTCCAGGATTCTTATAGGAAACTTGTCATGTATGTAAATCACTGTCTCCAGGATTCCAGAGTTTTGAAATGACCTGAATGATAAACGCCTTGGTGGTACTGAGAGGAAAAGCAAAGTGAATGAAAAAGTACTTAACTGGAATATTGTCAGACTTAGTTAACATTTTAGTAGTTGAGGTAATCTTGGGAAATAAGACCAAAACTGGTGACTTGGGGCTTAAATACTTTCTTCAGGGCAATCATAGGAGCCATGACAGACACAAAGCAATGGGTGGTTAATATCCAGGGGAATTATGCAAATAGTTAAGATAGGAGCTCTGGAGTGATCCTGTTGTGGTCAGGCTTGGTGGCTCCATGTTTCAGCCTTGAGGGGAAGATGCTGAAACAAAGGCAGGTCTCCATTCAAGCCTGACTGCCAAAAGTTACAGAAAGCAGACTCTTAACAGAATAGATGTCAGGAAATGAGGAGAAATTGAATAACTCTCAAACCATTCCCTTCTTAACTACTCTCCCAAACTACCAAAACTTGTC